GCAGCCATCAGTTAAACGGGTGGTTGACTGAAGACAGCAGCCATCAGTTAAACGGGTGGTTGACTGAAGACAGCAGCCGTCAGTTAAACGGGTGGCTGACTGAAGACAGCAGCCGTCAGTTAAACGGGTGGCTTACTGAAGACAGCAGCCGTCAGTTAAACGGGTGGTTGACTGAAGACTGCAGCCGTCAGTTAAACGGGTGGCTGACTGAAGACAGCAGCCGTCAGTTAAATGGGTGGCTCACTAAAGACAGCAGCCATCAGTTAAATGGGTAGCTGACTGAAGACAGCAGCCATCAGTTAAATGGGTGGCTTGCTGAGAACAGCAACAACCAGTTCAATGAGTGGCTCACTGAAAAACAGGTCTTCAAATCGGTTCAAACCAGTTCAGTCATGGCCGACGAGGCAGAACAGGAACAGACCCAAAGCTTTACCATTTGGCAAATTCAACATGGTACCCGGAACAGGAAAAGTTACAGGTCAAAGCCCTGGAATGGGAAACTCAGAAGAGCCATAGTGAGCCTTTTCGGGAGCCTGATGCATGAGATGGGATCACTGACAGGACTGTGGAGAGTGATCCACCGGCCACCATCTTTGAGCAGGGCAGTGCTGCTGAAGACTGTGCTCAAAATCCAAGGGCAAAAGATTTGGTTGCTATGCAACATGTATGCTGCCCTTGTTCTCTAGCAAGACTTCTTTCTATTGACCCTAAGTTTAAAAATTCGAGTCTGTTTCTCGCATGACTGAACTGAGCAGAACCATTGTGAAGCCCTGTTGAAAACACAGGTGCCCAGAGTTCAATCCCAGGTGTGAACAACGTCCAGGGCTCAAAAAATCAGGGGATGCTGGTGGTGGGAGAGGAGGAGACAGGATGACGAGATCTCACCCACCCACCAACTCGCTCAGGCGGGCCACTCACTTTTTCCACATGCAGGGCCAGCTTCACTCCATTGTGCAGCCAGGACAGGGCCACAATGGGATCCCCCTCCACCAGGCTTCCCACTGGGCTCTCCCAGCTATTGGCCAGGTGGTCCGCCATGCTCCAGCACTTGATCTGCCCATCAGCGTCAGCTGACAGGAGCCGGGAGCCTGCAGGGGACATACCTGCATCACAAACCTTCCGCAGTGGGCAAGGCAGACTCCCAAGGGCCCTGGGAAGAGGGGACAGGTTTCGAAAGGCAAAGATGGTATGAGAAGCATGCCTGGTGCAGGGCATGGCCTGGGCAAAGGCCCAGCAGTTGGGCAGCATGAGGTGCGCTCAGGAAACGTGGACACAGTGAGCAGGAGGGATTTACAGCATTAGGTCCAAGTCCCAGTTCTGGACTCGGGGACGTGAGTGTACCGCAGCCCAATCCAGGCCCCCCCTCACCTGACTGGTCCCACTCGAGGCAGGTAATGGCCTCGCGGTGCTCCGAGTCGATGGAGTGCACATCCCAGGGGTGTTCCGTGTCCAGGATGTGGATCATGCGGGTCAGGTCTGCAGGACGGGGCGTGGTCAGCACGGTCTGGAAGGTGCACCCCGAGGACCCCAGGCAGGCTGGACTGAGCAGCCCACCGAAGACCCCACTCACAGGGAGGCCACAGCGCTTCCGCCAATCACGCGGAAGGCGATGGTGACACAGCAAGGTACACGTGTGACCCGCCAGGGGAACAGAGGTAGGTAGGGAACACACTGCCGCCAATGTGATTACAACCATGTTCTCACAAAAGGCACAGAAAACGAAAATGGGAGAAAATGAACCCAAAATGCTAGCAGTGAGCACTTGTCCGTGAAAGGTAACAGGTGGTTCTTTTTCCTCGTTCTGGTTTTCTGTGCTTTTCTAATTTTCTCTAATGAGCACGTATCATGCAGACAATGGTGGAAAGATAGGCCTGGGCACTGTGTACCTCAGGGGCTTTCAAAAGCCAGACAGCGACTCGTGTTCAAAGAGTGAACGGAGAACAGGGTGAGTGAGTCTCCAAACAAGCCTCAGTGACCCACTGCCCCAGTCCCTGCTGCATCCCACAGGGGTGACCCCAAGCGCCTTATGGGCCCCAGGCATGGGAGGACTCTGTGTTCACCCCCTGCACCCTTGTGAGGCTGGGGCTCCCACTGCCCCCCAAGTTACAGACCAGGAAACTCTGAGCAGGCTGGATGCCCAGGTCACCCGCTAGGTGAGGGGTGTCGCCAAGGTCACAGGCAGGCCTGAGCCCAAGCTTCACAGTGGTGGCTCCATAGGAGTCCAGGGGCAAGAGCATGGTGGGGCCAGCGCACCTTGATCATCATTCCGGAGGTCCGTGGTGAAGGCGATGAGGTTGCGGCAGGACCAGGCACAAGCCAGGGGCACCGAAGGGCAGAGGGTGCTCCTGGGCCATTTCTCCCACTCGCAGACGTAAGCTAGGTCCATTATGCTGCCCGCCCCACGCCACGGATGTCACTGGCTCCTGAGGGAGGGAGGGCTTGTCATTGATGTTGGCGCCTGCAGTGTGCCACGTGCCGCCCTGGACCCTGGACATACCGCAGGAATGAGCAAAACAGACCAAATCCCTGCCCTGGACTCTAATGTGGGGGTTGGGGGGTGGGGTGGGGAGTAAGGATCTGCAGTTGTACGTGGGGAGGTGATATGTGAGCACAGGTGTGGGGGAAGGAGGCACCAGACATCTGGGGGAAGAGCGTCCAGGCGTGGTAACAGCACGTGCAAAGGCCCTGAGACAGAACTGAGCCTGGTGAGTTGGAGGAAACCAGGTGTGTGGCTGTGGCTAAAGGGAGTGAGCAAGACGGAGGAGAAGGGAAGGGCAGGGAGGGGACAGGCAGGCTGTGGAGGGCCCTGTGGGCGGGGAGGACTCAGGACCCCGGTGGCCGTCTGAAGGAGGCTGCGGGAGACAAGGGCAGCACACGGAGGACCAGGGCGGGGGACGGCACTGACCCAGATTCGTGGCGATCGGGGAATCGGGCCCCGCCCCAAACTCTCCCCAGACTTCACGCGAGGGACCCTACGCCAACGCGCCCTAGGCCAGGTCGCCTACCCAGCCCCCTTGACTCCCCAGACCCCGCCCTCTGACCCACAGGCCCCGCCCCAAGCAGCGTTTCCTCTCCAGTCCTTGCCCCGATTCTCCCCAAATTTCCGTTTAACAATCTCTAGGCCCGTCCCCTACGCGCTCAGCGCCGCGTACCCAGCACCCTTTGCGCCCAGACCCCGCCCCCTGACCGTACAAGCCCCGCCCCCCGGACCGCTGGCCCCCGAGGTCCCGCCCCCGGCTACCTCCACCTACTCTGGGCCGCGCTCCCCGGGGCCGCGGGCACCGTCCGGACGCCGGACACCCCCGCCGGGTCCCCGCAGCGCCGCGCTTACCTCGCTGGCCCGTGCGCCAAGCCGATCGGGCGGTGACGGCCTGCACTCGCGCTAACCCTCCGGCTCCGGCACCGCCATATTCCCCGGGACCAAAGAGTCGCCGCCGCAGCTTCGCAGAGACTTCTGGGACGGCGGTGGCTCCGGCTCCGCCTCAGCTGTCATTAATTTGGATACGGTGCCTTATTTACATGGAACGTCTTCCCAGCAGCCACCGCGCAATTATATTTGGTAGAACAACAAGAACTTTCTCAACTCCAGTTAATATCTAAAAAGTTTCGTTATTACGCCATGTGTTTTACTAATATCACAAAAAGAATCTGTAAATTGCTAAACTTTTTAAGAAGAGTGAACCCTAAGTGTAAAGAGATATAGTACAGGCACTATAAATAAAGGAGAGGTGAGCCATGTATTTGTGCTTGCTTCGGCAGCACATATACTAAAATTGGAACGATACAGAGAAGATTAGCATGGCCCCTGCGCAAGGATGACACGCAAATTCGTGAAGCGTTCCATATTTTGGTTGTCATTTTCAGTTTTCACCAGTGGAGAAACTGAGGCTCCAAGACTTGTCCCCTTAGGGGCGCTCCCAGTTCCGAACCTAATTTCTTTCACAAAATCTCATTCTCTTCCGCCCCCACCCCCGAACCCTGCCCCGCTTGGGCCACCGAGGAAAACGTTCTCAGATTTCAGGGAACGGTGCACCGGGTGGCGTGCACCGCCTGGGCGAAGACGCAGAAGCCAGGCAGGCTTGGATCCAGACGCGCGCAGAGCGGGAGGAGGCCCGCACAATTCCGAATTTGGAAGGGCGGGGCTCGAACCCGGTTCGCGTCGATGCAGCCTGCGGTGGAAACGTGGGGAGACCACGGCCCTAGTGCACCCCAGCTCCCCAGAGCACCTCAACTCCGCAGCCTACACCTCGATGCCCAAAGCTTGCCCTCTAGGAACCACCTCCCAGATAATGCCCCGCGCTGGTCACTCCAGCCGGTTCTTCCGCCCCCGCGCTGGGCACGCACCACCTCGACCTAACGTTTGGATTTCCGTTTTCAACATCTGTCTTGACATGTTTTAAACACATGTTAAAATGGAATCGCGCACAGCCAGCGCCCAGATCTTGGTTCCTAAAATCACTCCCGGATAGAAAGAACAAGGCTCCTTGGAGAAACGGCCAGTTCTAGGAGGGGGCAGAAATATACCAAATGCACCAGGAGCGTCTTGTAGTGCCAGAAAATAAGGAAATGCTCAGTAAAAACCCCGCACGATGATGGCGTACGTTGAAAGGACGCAGGAGACAACCGTAAGAGCTCCCAAGGGCTGACCTGGAATAATTTGAGCAACAAAATAAAGCCGTATTGGATTATAATCCAAAGTATGAAGTAAATACTCTTGAGTTCATAGTGCTATAAATAGATGATTGGGTAAATAAATGAATGAGGGAGAAGAGACAGATCTCCCTGTAGAATTCAAAATAATTTCTGTAGATTCGCCACCCTCACGCCCACCCCTCAGTGTGGCTGCGCAGAGTGATGTCCGTCCAAAGGGCACAGTGTGGAAAGGGGTGAAGGGGGCACTTCACAGTGGAGACACCTGAAAACACACCTCAGCCAGGTGAGCAAATCAACGTCACAGTGATGGGCCACGTGGACGGTATGCACCCTGATATGGTGGGATGAGGAGGGCACCTCACCCCTGAGGTTTCCTCCCCAAAACCCACAGCCTCAGTCTCGTCATGAGAACGACGCCAAACACCAATCGAGGGGCCTCCCACAAAATTCCTGAGCAGCACCCCTCAAAACCATCAAGGTCTCAAAAACAGGGAAAGTCTGAGAGACCGTTATTGCCCAGAGGAGCCTGAGGAGATGCAAGGACTGAATGTCACGTGGGCCCCGGATGGGGTCCTGGGACAGAAACAAGACATTAGGGAAAAATGAAGGAAATTTGAATAAAGTGTGGTCCTTCGTTAATAATAATGTCTCAATATTGTTGTTTGCTGTCCAGTCAATGTCAATACATAGTGACCCCATATGTGCAGAGCAGAACTGAGCTCAACAGGGTTTTCAAGGCTGTGACCTTTTGGAAGCAGATCACCAGATCTTTCTTCCGAGGAGCCTCTAGGTGAGTGCCATGGATTGAATTGTGTCCCCCAAAAATATCTTGTTAACTTGGCTGGACCATGATTCCCAGTATTGTGTGATTGTCCACCATTTTGTTATCCGATGTGATTTTCCCATGTGTTGTAAATCCTATCTCTATGATGTTGATGAGATGGGATTATCAGCAGTTATGTTAATGAGGCAGGACTCAATCTACAAGATCGGACTGTGTCTTGAGCCCATCTCTTTTGAGATATAAAAGAGAGAAGCAAGCAGAGAGATGGGGGACCTCATACCACCAAGAAAGCAGCACAGGGAGCAGAGCACGTCCTTTGGACCTGGGGTCCCTGCGCCTGAGAAGCTCCTAGTTCAGGGGAAGATTGATGACAAGGACCTTCCCCCAGAGCTGACAGAGAGAGGCCTTCCCCTGGAGCTGGAGCCCTGAATTTGGACTTCTAGCCTCCTAGACTGTGGGAGAATAAACTTGTGTTTGTTGAAGCCATCCACTTGCGGTGTTTCTGTTACAGCAGCGCTTGATGACTGAGACAGTGGGTTTGAACTGCCAGTCTGTTAGGCATCAAGTGCTTAACCATTTGCGTCACCCGGAGACTCCCCACGTTATCAGTATTGTTCGTTATTGTGACAAATGGCCACACGGATGTGAAATGTGAAAAAAGGAGGTGGGGCTCTCCGAACTGTCTTCCCTATGACTAAATCTGAAGCTCTTCTAAAGTAAAAAGGCATCTTTCTTTAATGGTCTGAATATTGGACGGCCGCACAGGATCACGATTAAATTCCTCAAGGCAGGGTGGTGCCGCAATTGTGTCGAAAGTCCCCGTTCCCGGGGCTGAACTAAGGGTGACGGGCCCCAGGCCTGAAACTCCCTCTCAAAGCGGCTCAGCAAATACGCATGTGGAGAGGGAGCGCGGGGCGTGGCATTCAGAGACCCCTCCTGCCACCTCCCTGGCATCCTGAGTTTCCAAAACAGAAACTCTGGAGGGGGGCGATCCAAAATTACCGTCGACGGCAAACAAACATAACTTGCCTCCAAGTGCAGCGAAATGGATTTCTGAGCATCATGTCACTGCTGCGAGCCAGGGGTTTACCTGCATCCACTATCTCATGTAATCCTCCTGCCCACCCCCGTTTATCATGCGGGGAAACTGAGGCACAGAGAGGTTAGTGACTCATCCGAGGTCACACAGCTAAAAAGAGGCGGAGGGGGGATTTGAGATTAACAGCCCAGCGGCACCCAACAGGGTTCCTGTGGACCTGCTACAGGGACAGCATCCTCATCAGGGAATCTTCTCCCTCCAGGCCTGCAGCCCGCAGTGACCAGCACCCCAGCCCTGCCCCAAAGAAAAGGCCGCCCAGCCCGAGGCCAGAGCACCAGAAATTTATTGAACCCTCCACTTTCCCCAAAACACAATTAGCCACACACTGGGAAGGGGGGTCCCCAGCCCTGCTCTCCCAGCCCAGGGCAGGGTGACCTGAGCAGGGGTTGGAGGCACCCTGACCCAACAGGCCAGAGCCAGGCTTGGGGACAGAGGGGACAAGAGGAGGGGAACAGGGCTTTCTGAGGATGGAAGCTTCTGGCTGGAAGTGCTGGACCCCCAGAGTACAAAGGCGGGGGAGGGAAGTGGGGGCATGAGGGGACACGTAGAGCTGCCCCACGTCACACAAGCAAAAACACGTTGGCCAAAAGGCACCGGGGAGGACGTGCGTTCCAAAAAGAGGGTTAAACCAGCCCTTACAACGCCGCTTCTGGCCCGGGAGGCGGGGCACACACACGCACAAACACACCCAAGACACGATGCTCCTGGGACAAAGGCTGGGGCCCCAGAGACACCCCCCCACCCAAGCAAAAACCAGGGAGAGGGTCAAGCAGGGGCTGGATGAAGCCCCACCATGTCTCAGCGGGGGGGGGGGCGAGTTTTGGTACTCCTCCCCTGAGAGGGAAGTTTAAAATCTACAACAAATCATGCCAAATTCATTAAAAGTGATAAAAACCCGGCCTCTCCTTCCTCGCCCGAGCTTCAGGCTGGGGCAAAGAAGGAACATGGAAGAGCCCAGACCAGGTCTCCCCGCCCAAATACAAGTCCCAGAGTGGGGAGCTCCAGGGCAGGGAGGGTCTGGGGCAGCCCCAGCTGCTAGCCTTTGCCTGAGATAGCTGGGCTGTGACAGGGTAAGGGTAAGAAAGAGTCACCCCAAGGGGAAGGGCAGATTTCCATAACAAATTCTAAAAAATAATAGAGATATTATTTCAGCAGATGGTATTGGAGGTCTCGGCGCCAGGCGGGGGACCATGAAGCCGCCATCAGCTGCGCTGCTCCAGGTAGGCAGACAGGAGCAGCCCCGGCGGCAGGAAGTCCAGGTGTCGATTGCTGACTTTCATCTGCCGTCTGCCCTCCAGGTCGGCACCTGCGGGAGGGGGCGAGGGGGCGAGGGGGCGAGGGGGCAAGAATTAAAGGAGTGGGAGAGTCGTGGCACATAGAGTTGCTGTGGGCCGGGAGGGGCCAGGAGGGCTGTGCCCCAGCATCTTTCCTGCTGTTGCTTTGGGGGGTCCGGCTGACTATAACCCTCCTGTGGGTAGGGGCTGGGTCCACTCTGGACCCTGTCAGGCCCCAGGGCCTGGCTCTGGAGAAAAATTAACGCCCCTGGTGCTGTTCATCTCCCCGGTGGCTGGTTTCAACTTTGCTGTTACTCATCCCGTTACACAGATGGGAACACTGAGACACGCAAGATCCAAGGTCAAGCTAACACTCAAGTATGTGCCTTAAGCAATGTCCTGGTCTCCCAGCCCCTACCCCTGCCCTGCAGGTGGCAGCTTGAGCTGACTCTGAAGCATCAAGACCCTGGATGGCCCAGTCTCTGCCAGCCTCATCTCCCCCCACCCCCACCTGCAAAAACTGACCTGTCTGTGCCTAAGCTCAGTCCTGCCTGAGCCTCTGCCCTGGCTTTTCCCCTCTGCCCAGGACTCTCCCCCACCCCCCCATACCCTATCTCACTTGGGCGGCTCCTGTTGTGTTCAAGCCCCAGCTTGACCCCCACAGAGAAGCCCCCCCAGTCACGCCCCTCCATTCTGAGTCTGAAAGAACAAAGGCCAGCCTGGAGGCCTGGAGGCCCACAGACCGCTGCCACAGCAGAGGGAGTGCAGAAGGAACTATCCGGGGGTTTCCATGGAAACCGTCTCCAGGCAGGAGGTGGAGGAGACCAGCGTGGGGAGCGAGGACCAGATGGGGCGCCTGGGGCCAGCAAGGGCCTGTGGGGACATCACTGGGGGGCTGTGTCCCAAAACCACCATAAAGAGCAGCTACATGTAAAAATAGGGTCACAGGCCCAGAAAGGGGGGTTTGCCCATAGTCGGGCAGAACAGTGGAGGCGGGGCTATGGCTAAGCAGAACCCTCTGGACACTGAGGTCCCGCATCTCATCTCGGGGTCCAACGAGGTACCTCAAGGCCAGGTATCATCACCCCCACTGGGTCCCCCTGAGCCTCCAGCCCTGGAGATGTGGACTGAGGGGTGTCTGTCCCCAGCGTCACCCAGGACAGGGCCAGGCTCACAGGGAGCTTTGGCCAATTAAATGCAATCAGAGACCCACTGCCTCATCTTGGTTCACTGGCAGACACCTCCAGCTGGGTACCCAGACCCCGGTGGACCCTGAGTCCCGGGGGCCAGCGGGCACTCACTGGCTGAGATGAGGTCCATGTACTGGCAGACGGCGTGAAGCAGGAGCCTCTCGAAGCTGTGGAGAAGCAGAGCGGTGAGCGGCGGGGGCCGCAGCCAGCCTCCCTGGGAGCTCGAGGCCCGCCCTGCCCAGTCACCTGCTGTCCAGCATGGCTGTGTAGACGGCCTGGGGGGACACCGAGAAGAACCTCAGCAGCCGCTCTTCCCAGGTCTCCAGCGTCTCCTGAGAAAGACAGGCCCGGAGGTCAGGCTGGACTGTGGGGGGGACCCCCCTATGCTCAGGGCAGCACCTGAAGCTCTGACCCACTGCATGAAGCCACTTAACCGTCTCCAAGGGTGTCAGGCACTTTGACGTCTCTGCACCTTTGAGCGTCCTGTGCTGCTGCCTGGTGAACTCCTACACATCCTGCAATACCCACCTTCATTGTCCCCAGCCCTCCCACCCTCCGATCACACAGGTATGTCTTCCATGCCACATGCTGGGTAACGTGGTCTCTCTTCACCCCACCCCCAAATGAGAACCTGAGACGTGAAAAGAACCATCAAAAAGGACAGATGAGCCCCACGCTTGCTCAGGAACAGGTTCCGCCTGGCACTTACCATGGGGATTCGGCTCCGCTTGAGGATGGCTCGGAGGCGCCGGCTGATGCGCTGGAAGCACTCGCGTGGGGTGTAGGCCAGGTCGTCTGCAAGACCGCATGGGAGGCTGCTGGGACAAATCGTCAGGCCCCGCCCACAAAGGTCCCAAGGCTCCACCCCGTGCCCCAGGCCCCACCCCCTGTCCGTCTGCACCACACGCTAGGCTCTGCCCACACCAGGCCCCACCCCCTTCGCACCCGGTCCCGCCCACATGTGGCCCAGGCCGCACCTGGCCTCCGGTCCTCGCAGCGGCCAGGTCCCCTCCTCCGTGCCTTGCTCTTCCCCTCATCCTCCAGGTAGCGGAGCACCCGCTCCTGCTCCTCCCCGGAGCGGTTCATGAAGTCGTTCCAGACCTGGAAGACAGGCAGGCAGGGTCCGCTGTGAGGCCCGGGGCTGATGGCTTCGAGTCTCGGGGCCTCAGTTTCTCCTTCTGGCAGATGGACACAGACGACACAAAGTACAGAAAGCCTCCCTGTGGACCCCTGTGTGCCGGCCGTGTGGGGTACTGGGGAAGCCGGAGGGGGAGACCTCAGCCGACGCGGCCCTCAGGCGGGGGTGGGGTGGGGGTGTCACATAATCTCCCGTCCTGTCTTTCATCCCAAATTGTGGTGAACAGATGAACCGTGGGTGCTGGAAGGTTCCAGGGGGTTCTGGCCTGGTCTGGAGACCCTGAGGGTGACCAGAGGGGGCTGGGTGCTCCTGGTGGTGGGAGTAAGGATGAGGGGCTCTAGAACCTGGGAGGAGGCCAGTGTGGCCGGAGCAGCAGAAACAAGAGGTTCAGGACCTACCTCCACATAGGTCGCATTATTGCAGGCCTCAGCGAAAATGCCGGGTGCTGCAGGAGGTGCCAGGTCCCCATCCTCCAGGCCAGGCGTGCCCCCATTTGACTCCAACAAGGTCAGGAGGTACTGGGCTGGGTGGAAATAGATAGTCTCTGGGCCAGGGTGTATCATTCCAAGCCCCCTGGGCTCCATGGGGACCCATGAATCATCCTTCTCTCCTCCCAAATCCCTTAGCCACCCCAGCCTCCCCAGACCTCTGCATCTGGATCTTTCACACTCTGGTTCATGCTCACCTCTCCACCCCCATGCGCTGGCTGCCCCTCCCAGAATGCACAGAAACCATTCAGCCTCTAGAACTCCTTCAATCTCACCCTGACTTATCGAACTCCTACACATCCTTCAAAGCCCCAGCTTCAATGCCCGGAGCTCCCTCTGGCCCAGTCCTGACTCCATGGGACTAGAGGTGTCTATGTCTGACACTGTTGCCTGACCCTCCATCCAGGCCCAGAGCTGAAGCCTCTCTGGGTCCCCATCATTGCCCAGCTCAGCGCTGGGTTCACAGTAAGGATGACAGATAATGCCAACAAGCACACCATTCTCATCTGAGGCCTAGGAGCCCCCAGGAGGTGCCCCCAACCCCTGCTCACTGTTCTCCAAGCGCTGGAGGCTCTTTCGCCCCTTGGCCTTGGGCACAAGGTCTGAGTTCCGCACTGCCTGGTTGATGAAATGCTGCTTCCGCTTGGAGGCTGAGAACCTCTTCACCTGGGAGCCAGCCAGAGCAGGCAGGCAGCCTGGCAGGGGCCTGCGGGCCGGGGGGTGGGAGGGTGTGGTCCTCAGGGCCAAGACAAGTCAGGACCCCTGGCCAGAACCCCATCATGGCTACTGCCTGCTTGGTTTCCCCCAGTGACGGGAAGCTCACCCCCTTCAATGTGCCAAGTTCTATACCCTTAAAATCCTCATTTTGTCTCACCCTGACATCACCTGGGAGGCAGGTACAATTGTGATGACAGATAGTAAGCCAAGGTGCAGAGGGGAGAAGACACCAGCCTGAAGTCATACAGCTGCTGGGTGTCTGAGACAAGCCGGCCCCTCCACCCCCAGCCTTCTGGATTTTAGCTGCAATGCAGTGAGGCCCAGAGCCTCCAGGGCTCCCCTTGGGGTTCCTCAAGAGACTTGATTTTATTGAGCTTCCTGGGGCCCGGCAACGAAACCAGGAAAGAGCCCCCAGAAGCTCAAGGTGATGCTCTAGCCCATTTGCCTCTCACCCCCAAGTCCGCTCCAAGTCTGGGGAGGGGGCTGGGGACAGGAAGGGACCAGAGCAGCCCCCCTTGGAGCTAATCCGCCCTTTTCTGAGTAAATGGCATTAATTGTGGAGATGGACAGAAGCCGCCCGCCTGCCTAGTCAGCCCCCACCAACCTCTAGGCCAGGAACTGCAGAGGACAGTCCCCACCTGGCTCAAGGACCCTCACACAGCAAGGGCTGTGGTGGAGTCTGACCTCTAAAGCGTCTGGGGTACCGGGATTCCCCCCCACCCCATCTCCTAACTCCCGCCCCCTCGCCCACTCTGCTCTAGCCAATGGGGTCTCCTCAACAGTGTGCAGTTCGTCAAAAAGTCAAGCATAGAGTTACCATATAACCCACAATTCTACTCCTGGGTGTGTACCCAAGAAAAACGAAAACATGCCCCCCCAAAAACCTGTACACCAACGTTCACGGCAGCACTGTTCACAATCACCAAAAGGTGTAAACAACACAAATGCCCGTCAGCAGACAATGGATACACAAAACGTGGTCCATCCACACAACGGATCATAACTTCAGGACGGTGGAGAAAGATGCCAGAGGTTAGGTGTCATGTTAGTGCTCGTGGGGTCCACACATATGAAAAGCGTCCTTGAGCCTCAAGTCTGTGCACTTTACAGAATGGCTGTTGTATCTCATGGGTTACTGAGACCCAGCGCTGTCAGGAGGTGCAGCGGGGCACGGGAACATCCACAGACGGCACTTCAGGCCCAAATCTATGAACACTGAGCTCGTGGAAAAGCATCTGATGGATAAGCTCACACGCACACAAGTACGCACTGATAGGGGACGTGCAGGTAGGGGCACAGGCCGGGCTTCGACCCCGAACCAGGCACTGGGAACTCGCTGGCCGAGACCGACCCCTCGCTCAGCGGCAGTGAGCCCTGGAATCTCAGCCCCGGGGTTCAGATCTCCGCTAGGATACCTCTTCACTGTGCCACCTGGAGCTTCGCGTTCACTGTCCGCAAAGTGGGGATAAGAATAGTCCCTGCAGTGCCTGTGGGTCTGAAAGGGGGTACCAAGAGCCAAGGGGAGGCAGGGCAGACACCTCCCCTTCTGTCTCAGCTGCTACCTGCTTGGTCTTCCCCTGTGACAGGGAGATCACCCCTTGGCCACACCATTCATGATCTTGATCATAGCAACATCTCCTTTACCATAGCCCCAGAAGGCAGGTACTATTATTTGGAAACCCATTTTACAGATTTGTAAACCGAGGCACAAAGAGAAGTCACTGTCCCAAGATCACACAGCTGCTGAGTGGTAGCAACAAGGGTGGCTGGGGCAGGACAGGGTGAACCAAGCCCTGAGCCCACAGCATGGCATCCGGTGAGCACTCACTGAACTCCAGCGGTTACACAGGGCAACGGTCAGACACAGCGCAAGGGCGGCCTCCCCCGGCTCGAGCCTCGTTCCAGCTCAGACTCACTCGTGGCCTCTAGGAAGCCCCAGCACCTGCATCTCCATCTGACAGCTAGACAGAGCCCAAGAGACCGCCTGGGGAGGCCGATAACAGAGGCCAAGTCAAAGGGAGTTGTCCATGACGTCAGTGTAGGGCAGGACCTGGTGACAGGCAAAGCTTGAGCTCTCAGGACACGTGACCTGGGGCCACCCCCATTTTACAGATGGGCATCTGAGGCTCCAGGAACTGGGGCTCTTTCTGTCCTTTTTATGCATGCAAGGGGCACAGCTGGGATTTGAACCCAGGTCTGAGCAGGACGGCTCACCCGGAGCCACTGAGCCACCCTGCTTCCCTCATGGGCCCAGAGCAGGGGTCCACTCTGGACCTCGGTCCCCTGGCTTCTCCCTCGGGCCACCAAACACAGGACTGGCCCCTCCCCTGCTCAAACACTGCCCAGGGCTCCCCAGCACCTTTGGGGCAAGGCCCAGCTCCTCCTTGGCCTGGCCTTAGAGGCTCTGCCTGTTCCCCTGCCTGGTCCCCCACAGGCATGTGGGGGATCATCATGCCCTCCTGGGTCTTCAATGCTGAGCTGAGCACTGGAAAGGGAGTCCCACCATCAATTCAAGCTTGCTGATTTCAGCTGGGTTCCAACAGGAGATAAGAATGGTTTGGCCTCTGGGGCAGGGTGTGGGGCCTGGAGTCACCAGTCCCTACCGGAGGGGCTGGGCAGAAGCGGGCAGGGCAGAAAATCAGCTCATAAACTCTCAGGAAGTCAGGCTCGTGATGAAGGTGGCTGGACATCCGTGTAAACACAAATGTTTACACATCAAAATGTCTATGCCAGATCCCATCCTCTCTCCTCTCCAGCCTCCTCACTGTGCTTCAAACTCACCAGCAACAGTCCTACCCCAGGGCCTTTGCACGGGCTGAGCTCCCTGCCTAGAGCATCCTTTCCCTGGCTTATTCTGGTCTCTGCCCAAATCTTGCCTCCCTGAAAACCCACCAGCAGCAACTCACCCCAGCACCAGCCAGTGTCCAAAACCAGCTGGTCCATTTACTGCCTCACTCCTTCATCACCTCCCCATAGATGCGGAGCCCCACCCAAACAAAGCAGGTGGGTCAGCCAGCTGAGAGTGGGCATCCATGACATGCTTACTGAACAGACAACTAACCTTCTGCTTACACACCCACCAAGTGCCTGCTCACCTGCTTCCTGCACCCCCCCCAACCAGGCCACTTTACAGAAGGGGAGACTGAGGACCCAGAGGGGGCATCTGAGGCTTCCTGGACCCGGCAGGCCTCAGGGAACAGTTGCACCCTGGAAGTTGCCAGTGTTTGATGAGAGCAGATGGGCTGGACTGCAGAGCTGCTGCTAAGTCAGAGATGCGCTAAGGGCTGGTACAGGCCTGGCCAGGGAGAGCCAGTGGCTCAGGGACTGTCTCAGGCCAGAGCCCGGGTATGGGGTGTGGGCGATGAGTGTTAGCACCCAGTACACACGGCCGGGTGGCTTTGGGGGAACAGGCCCTGTGATGCCCCACCCGCTGGACAGGGACACACCTTCTTTGGTACACACCCTCAGCGGGCGGGCAAGAGGGAACCCACTTCCTGGAGCAGGAAACTGAAGTCTCAGGGCGGAGGTGACTCAGCCCAGCTGGGCAGATGGGGGCTCCCTGAGCCACCCACCCCACCCAGGACGAGGGGAGGGGCCCATCTGCCTGGCAGTTAAACACCCAGGAAGTGGGGGCTGCGATGAAGGTGTACCAGGAGTAAAGGGGCGGGGGGGTTAATTGCCGGTTGGGCAGGGGCGGGGGGGCTTGTTAACCTTTTCCTTTTTTATTTTTTGCCCCCCCCTTCAGGCCTTGTTGGGTTGTGGTTTGGGGGTTCGGTTGTTACCCAAAGGTTTGTTGTTTGGATTCCCCCGGTTTTTCTTGGGGACCCTTTTGGGGCGTTTTTCCCTTTTCTTTTGGGTTCCTATGAGTCGGAATCGACTCGACGGCAATGGGATTGGTTTTGGTTGGTTTGCACACCACCTACCTATGGCCGGGTTTTTAAAAGATCAGGGAAGAGAGGGGGCAGGGTCCATGCTGTACAGACTCCCCCTTGGGGTGGTTAAAGCTCTGCTTAAAAGAGACATCTGTCCCTCCTCCACATAAACACCCACGTCTGTGGGGACTCCACAGCCTCTAGGTAAAAACCCAGGTGGAGATATTAATAACAATAAAGTAACAGTAACAGAGGAGCCCTGGGGACGCAACAGTTAAGCACTCAGCTGCTAACCTAAAGGTTGGTGGTTCAAACCCACCCACCCAGTGGTGCCACAGAAGAAAGGCCTCATAATCTGCTCCGATAAAGATGACAGCCTAGAAAACCCTGTGGGGCAGTTCTACTCCGTCACATAGGGTCACTGTGAGTCAGAACGGACTTCACAGCACCCAACAACAACAACAGCAATAAGGGAAGTTTGTTAGGTGGCATCGAGTTGGTTCCGACTCCTAGCAACCCCGTGTACAACAGAATGAAACCCTGCCCGGTCCTGTGCCATCCTCACAACGGTTATGCTTGAGCCCATTCTTGCAGCCACTGTGTCAGTCCTTCTCCTTGAGGGTCTTCCTCTTTTTCGCTGGCCCTCTACTTTAAGATAACAGTAACAGTAAAAAATAATTAAATGATCGAATAAAATCCTTTTTAAAAATAATTAAAACACTAAGATGTTTAAAATAATCATTAAAGATTTTTTAAAAGATTGGAAATTCCTGTTTGCCCAACACTTCCCAGCGCTGGGTCATTGACTCCTAACTGGGAGAAGACACTGTTCTGATCTCCTTTTACAGATGGGGAAACTGAGGCACAGAGGGGTGGAGAGCCTGCTGGCTGCACTGCTGGCACTGGGGGGTGGCAGAAAGGGACCCGGGAATCCCAGACATCCGGCCTCCTCCCTTCTCCCCCCTCAAGCGGGGGTAAGCCTCCAGAGGCCACCCGGGTTTCTGCGTCAACACCCAGGTTAAAGGGGCCGGTGGCCCGCGGGGTAAATACTCACAGACAGGCCTCTTGCTTCCAGGTGGAGGACAGACTGACTCCTGTTTGACCCGGTGTGACCTCCCCCCTCTTTAATCTGGGTGTTCACTGGGAAAAACAAAGAGCCCTGTCTACCCAGAAAGGTGGGCTGATCACCCCAGATGGGTAGCTAGGGGCCGGCCGGCCGCGAAATACCCCGATTGGGGAGCCGGAGTACCCCACCGCGTGCGCGAAAATCCCCACAACAGCTGCCCGATTCCGGTACCCTGGCCCGCAGCACCATCACACCCGAGCTGGTGACAAGGGACCCCGGATCCCAGGCAGGTGAAAGCCTTCCAGGCAACAGATACCCGGGACCGGGCCCCCAGGCCCCTCGACTATGGGAAGCTGTAAAACAGGGTGTGCCCCGCCCCCACCAGTAAATACCCGGGTACGTGTGGGGCGGTTTCCTCGCCCGCCAGGTAAATACCTGGGTAACAATAATGCCCCCCCCCCAGCTTCGCGGGAGGTAAACCGAGGAAGAGGGGTGGGGCAGGGCCCGGGGCTGAAGCCAGAGATCCGGACAGGAGGGGACACAGGGAGGCGGCTCGGAGCCCGGGGTCGCCCGCCCGCCCCCGGCCCCGCCGGCGCTCACAGCATCCGCCGCCCGCCGGGGGAGACCTCCGCCACCGTCGCCGCCTCTTCCGAGCCGCCCTCCGGGTTCTCCAGCGCCACCATGCCTCTGTGGCCACCGCCGCCCGGCAGGGCCTTCGAGGGGCCGGGCAGGAAGTGACGGACGCCCGGAGGCGGGCCCGGGCGGAGCCTGGCGGCTGGACGCGCGGGGCGGGACCGCTGACGGTGCTGCCGGGACTCGGGCTGCGGGCCGGCCTGGAGACCAGCCCTCGGGAGGACGCGCGGGGAAACTGAGGCTGGGGGCAAGGAAGAAACCAGCCCCCGTTGGACAGACGGGGAAACTGAGGCCGAGCGGGAAGCCAGTCCCAGGTGGACAGAGGGGGAAACTGAAGGGGGGGCGTCCTCTTCGGAGGCAGGGGGGTTGACGGAATGACACATACTCACCCCATCACCGACGAGGGGAGTCCTCCATTAAAGCGCACCCCCGGAGCACAGCTGTTCTCGGCCTCAGTTTACTCATGTTTAAAAGTAGGACAAGAGCTGCCCCCACCCCCTCTGCCTTTAGGGTTTATTCACTCAGTAAACGCCCACTGAGTGCTGCGACCAGGGCTAGGTGCTGGGGACCCGCGGTGACCATAAGCGGGGTGGGGAGAGAGTGGGGGGGCTACCCAGGTGGTCGGGGGCTTCCCCATGCAGCAGGAAAGATGTGCCAAGCAGAGGGGAACAGCCTGTGCAAAGGCCCATGGCATACAGAGTGGCCCCAGCACGGTAATGGCCGAGCATGGGGAAGTGGAGGTGGAGGGGAGGGGGACAGACCCCACAAGCCTGGTGTCCCTGGGGTGACAGGTCTGGTTTTTAGCCCAGAGCTATGCGGAGCTACAGAAGATTTTAGAGCAGGAATTAAACCTGCTCTAGACTCTAGACTCCACTGTTCAGTCTTCAAGAAATGTAGGGGAACCGAGGGCCATGTTAAACAACACCATAAGGATGCAGCCTACCAACCTGGTGGAAATTGTACAGAACACATGACCAGGTCGCTTTAACAAATAAAGAACAATGAGAAACAAAGAAAAAAGGGAGGAGGAACCTTTGAATGACCCAAAACGAAAATACTGTGTGACCTCATGTATATACATTTGAAGAGAGGCAAAAGGAATTGATGGTGATGGAAGTTGGGAGACTTCTGGCAGTGGTGACCGGGTGGGGACTAGGGGGGTGGGGGGAAGGTTTGGGTTTCCTGATCTGGCCCACAGTAGCTGCTCAGTAAGTGCACACGGGTCAGGAGAGGACTGAATTCCAGAGGATGCAGCCAGGGCCTTGGCCCCCCACTCCTCCACCATTCTTGGCCTCTCTCCTGGGGAAGGGGCCCCATCCTGCACCTTCTTAACACCCTCCCAGCCCCCAACGCCCCACTGCTCCTCCTTGACCCCTCAACCAGTCCATGACCACTATTAGCCCCCAGAGGCCCTGCCCTGGAAGGTCTAGCCACCTGCTGAGCCCTCCCCCAAGCAACTTCCCCCAAACTGTGCCTCTCGCCCCAACCCCCAAGACTTCTAGTAACCCTCAGGCCTCCTCTTCGTAACCCCTTCCTTTTTAGGTCATTGTCAAGAATAACTTTTGAGATATAAAAAGGGTGAACAGGGAAACGTCTCCCTCACCCATTCTTGTACCTCCTTCTGGCGATATCCAATGCCCTTGTAAACACAAGTATGGACTCATTTCTCTCTCCCTTTTCAGTCTTTGTTACAGGAATGTTAAGAGCCTTGGTGGCGCAATGGTTAAGCAAAGGTTGGCAGCTCAAACCACCCAGTGGCTCTGTGGGAGAAAGACCTGGTGATCTGCTTCAGTAAAGATTACAGCCTAGGAAACCCTATGGGGCAGTTCTACTCTTTGTCACATGGGGTCGCTAGGAGTCAGAATCGGCTGGGCAGCACACAGCAACAACAGCACAAACGGTGACATCTTTTTCCCTGCTGTGTAGTACTCCACGAGGCTCGCACATCCTGGACCTCCTGGGCGAGTATTGTCGGGTACACTTCCAGGAGGGGGATTGTGGGTAAAGTGTGTGGCCTTTATAAACTGCCCTTCACCCAGTTTCTGCTGCCAATGGAACAAAGTGTCCACGTCCCCACTGTCACCAGCCCAGGTGTCGGCTGGTTGCCGCCAGCTAGGTGGGAGACAGACACTCCCCGGGGGTCTGATTTGCAGTAGTCGGAGTCCTGGCGAGGCTGAGCTCCTTATTTAAGAACGGGCATCTGGGCATCCCTCACCTGCCTGGAACCTTCAGGGGCTCCCCGGTGGCCTGGGGACAAAACTCTCAAGCGGCACCCAGGTCCTCCGCCAAGTGCTGGCCTCACCCACAGCCCGAGCCCACCCACCTGGAACCCCAGGCCCTCGGAAGGTCGCAGTCCTTGCCCTCAGCAAGCGAAGGCTGCTCCCCCTGCCGGCCCTTCCAGGGACTACGGAAGTCTTCCCCTCCCCCGCTCTGCCCGTAGCACCCCCTTCTCTAGGCAGCCTCTTCTTGACGGTGCACGGGGGAGGAGGAGGGGAGGAGGGCTGCTGTGCTGGTGAAGGGAGGGCGCGCAGGCAGGGGAGGCGGTGGCGAGCGCTGCAGGAGAGGCAGGAGGCGGGGCGCGGGGGGCTCGAGGTATAAATGCGCGGTGGCTGCCGAGCGAGCAGACAAGCTGCAGAGCCCAGTAGAGCCGTCCTTCAGACCCGCGGCCTCTAACCGAGACCCTTCCCCAGGCTTCGCGGTGCAACCCGGCGGGCAGCTGGGAGGAGCGGTCTCGGCAGCCGTTGGCGCGCGCCTCCCGCGGCGCAATCCCAACCGGCGGCGGGGAGGAGGAGGCAGCGAAGCCGTCGGCGCGCGCCTCCCGCGGCGCAATCCCAACCGGCGGCGGGGAGGAGGAGGCAGCGAAGCCGTCGGCGCGCGCCTCCCGCGGCGCAATCCCAACCGGCGGCGGGGAGGAGGAGGCAGCGAAGCCGTGAGCGCCGCCACCACGGCAGAGCCCAGCGGGTCCTGGTGGGCGCCGGCTAACGCATCGGGCTGCCCGGGCTGCGGCGCCAACGCTTCCGACGGCCCGGTCCCCGTGCCGCGGCTGGTGGACGCCTGGCTGGTGCCGCTCTTCTTCGCCGCGCTGATGCTGCTCGGCCTGGCAGGGAACTCGCTGGTCATCTACGTCGTCTGCCGCCACAAACAGATGCGGACCGTGACCAATTTCTACATCGGTGAGCGCGCCAGCGCCCCTGGGTCCCATGCGGGCTGGAATAGTTAACAGGGAGGTTGGGGAATCTGGCACACGGAGAGTTTGGGCCTGTCCTCTGAGGAAGATGTACGATGGCAATGTGGTTCTTATAACGCCCCGTCTGCGGAACTAAGGGAGTAGGGGCAAGAGGCTGACTTGGCCCGAGGTCCCTCATTTTGCGACCCCCGCCAGTGGCTCGCTGATCCTCAGTTTGCACACCTGTGGAATGGAAGTGTCCTACCCTACACGGCACGGGCAGGCTCTCAGTCAGTGTTTGCTATCCTATGGTGGCTGGTGGGCTACACTATTGTCCCCATTTTGCAGATGAGAAAACTGAGGTTCGGAAGGGAGGGACAAGGAGAGCGAGCATGACTGGTACCTGAATGGCTATCAAGTCTGAGCTGGGGTGGATGGAAGAGACTGGAGAGCACCCCGATTTCTCTGCCCGGGGTGCTTCCTGCGGGTCACTCGGACAGGGCGGGGTGTCAGGGGGTGGGGAGGCTCTTGGGATCCAGCGCCCTCAAGCTCCCCGACTGCAGCCAACCTGGCGGCCACCGACGTGATATTCTTGCTGTGCTGCGTGCCCCTCACCGCCCTGCTCTATCCGCTGCCCGCCTGGCTCCTGGGGGACTTCATGTGCGAGTTCGTCAACTACATTCAGCAGGTGCGCGGGACGCGGGAGGGAGAGAGGGCAACCAGGACCGAGCCTAGGCGTGAGCTTGACCTGGCAAGTGTGGGGGTGGCCCGGGCCGGACTTGGGAGCCCAGCGGGAGACATGCCTGCGTGGAGGGGGTGGGGCTTGGAGACAGTCTGGGTAGGGCATGGGCGTGGCAGAGGCGGAGCCTGGGCCCTGAGTAGGGGGAACACCCGGACCCCTGGAAATGGGGACAGAGAGGCGGGGGTCACAGGGGAGGGGAAGGCAGGGAGGGCGACGGCTCCTTGCCGGTCCAGCGATCCCAGAGTGGTTCCGCCCCTCCGCTTCTGTCTCAGGGTCTCAGTCCAACCCCCAGTCGCCCCCCATCCTTCCCAACCCCCTAGGGCTCCTCTCCCGGTTCCCCCCCACCCCAGCCTGTGGTCCTTGGGGACCCCTCCCAGAACACGCCCCGTGTGTGCCTGAGAGTCGGACACTAGGACAACCGGCAGGGCGGGCGCGCGGGGACTAGATGGGCCCCAGGCCGGGCAGGGCGCCACATGCCCAGCTCCCTGCCCCCTGCGGGTCTCCGTCCAGGCCACGTGCGCCACGCTGACTGCCATGAGCGTGGACCGCTGGTACGTGACAGTGTTCCCGCTGCGCGCCCTGCACCGCCGCACGCCCCGCCTGGCGCTGGCAGTCTCAGCATCTGGGTGGGTGGGTGAAGCGCGGGGGCGCACGGGTGTCGGGGGACAAGTCTGGGAGCCCAGGGCCACCCGCTGCCCCCCCCGGGCCTCGACTGCGCATCTGGGAAATGGGCGCAGTCGCCCTCCCTGCGAAGGGCCGCCGAGGGCGCGCACCCGGGGCGCCCGAGACTTAGCCTGTGCCCAGTGTCGCTGCTCGGGGCGGCACGTGGGCGGACGAGACTGAGCCCCGGCTCCCCACAGGTTCGGCGGTCGTGTCGGCGCCAGTGCTCGCCCTGCACAGCCTCTCGCCGGGGCCGCGCACCTACTGCAGCGAGGCCTTCCCCAGCCGCGCCCTGGAGCGCGCCTTCGCGCCCGCCAACCTGCTGGCACTCTACCTGCTGCCGCTGCCCGCCACCTGCGCCTGCTACGGCGCCACGCTGCGCCACCTGGGCCGGGCCGCAGTGGGCCCGGCGCCCGCCGACGGCGTCCTGCAGGTGCGCGGCGCCAGAGGCAGCGAGGCTGGGGCTGGGGGAGGTATAGTGCGGGGGAGTCGGAGGGTGGAGGTGAAGAGGGTGTATGGGAGGAGGCGAAGCTGGAGGGACCTAAGGAGGAAGGTATAGTCAAGGGGGTATAGGTGGAGCGTTCTAGCGGGAAGGCACGGCCCACTCCAGGGAACCTGCGGGGGGAGGTAAGGTCCACCTTTCAGTGGTTCCTCCAACCCCCACCACCCCCAGGGGCAGCTGCTGGCGGAGCGCGCGGGCGCGGTGCGGGCCAAGGTCTCGAGGCTAGTGGCCGCGGTGGTTCTGCTGTTCGTCGCCTGCTGGTGCCCCATCCAGCTGTTCCTGGTGCTGCAGGCGCTGGGCCCGGCGGATGCCTGCCACCCGCGCAGTTACTCCGCCTACGCGCTCAAGATCTGGGCACACTGCATGTCCTACAGTAACTCGGCGCTGAATCCGCTGCTCTATGCGTTTCTGGGCTCCCACTTCCGCCAGGCCTTCCGCCGCGTCTGCTCCTGCGCCCCCCGGTGCCCTCGGCGCCCCTGCCGCTCCGGACCCTCGGACCCCGCCCCCCCCCCCACGCCGAGCTGCACCCCCTGGCGGCCCACCCGGCACCACCCGGCACCCTGAAGCCAGGCAGCAGTGGGCTGGGGGCTCGCAGGCTGTGTGTCCTGGAGCAAGAAGCAGCCCCCTCTAAGTCGACCTGTGGGAATTAAGATGGGCCCCCCAGAGCAAGGGCTGTTTGAACAGCGGCTGTTGTCATTGTGTGGCTAATATTTTATTATCATTGTACGAGATAATCATAGCGGAAATGTTTGGCTCTTACGTTTGGTACAAATTTGCCACGATGTTTGCTGTTATTAATATTGTAATGATTATTTCTGTATTTCCTTGTATTGAAGATGATTTATGCTGGCACTTTCTGGATCTTTCCAGAAAACGTCCATAGACATTGTCATGGTTTGAATTATGTTCCCCCAAAAATGTGTGTATCAGTTTGGCTGGGCCCTGATTCCTGGTACTGTGTGATTTTCCTGCATGTTGTAAACCTGCCTTTATGATGTTAATGAGGGAGGATGGGTGGCAGTTGTGTTAGTAAGGCAGGACCTGATCTACAAGACTGGATTGTGTCCTGACGCAATGTCTTGAGATATAAAAGACAGAAGTGAGCAGTGAGACAGGGGGACCTCATACCATCAAGAAAGCAGTGCCGGGAGCAGAGCGCGTCCTTTGGACCGGGGTCCCTGCGCCGAGAAGCTGCTAGTCCAGGGAACACTGATGAGAAGGCCGAGAGAGAGAAAGCCTTCCCCTGGAGCTGACACCCTGAATTTGGACTTTTAGCCTACTTTTCTGTAAGGAAATAAACTTCTCTTCGTTAAAACCATCCACTTGTGGTATTTCTCTTATGGCAGCACTAGATGACTAAGACAGAAGTTTTCATGTACTGCCTGCCTTGTGGTTGATCGTAAAGTTGTAAGATTCATCCTGTTTTCAGAGATGTTAAAATGTAGAAACAATATGCATCTTAGAATTGGTCAAACAAGTTATTATTATTACTCTCTGGGAAACATGGACAGTCTTGGCTGGGAAAGTCAGGGGTGTTGTTAAATAAATAACTCCTTCTGTGGACCACAGCTGCCCATGCGAGAAGCAGGATTGATTGTTACGTAAACAACCACCTCAAAATTCAAAGTCATAGAGCATCAGTTTATTACCGTTCATGCTTCTGTGGAGTGACGGGGCATCGTGGGTGGTTCTTGTGCTGGCTGGGGTTGCTTAACTCAGCTGCCCTCACCTAGACTTTCCCAGACTAGGTTTGCCAAGAAGGCTGCGCTCCAATGGCTATTGGCTCAGTGCTCCTCCGCATGGCTGCTTGAGGTTCCTCACAGCATGGCCGTCTTGAGAAAGTCAGACTTATTCCATGAGGAGGCAGAAGCTGCAAGGCCTCTTAAGGCCTGGGCTCAGGAGTCCCGAAATGTCACTTCTGCCAAATTCTATTAGTTGGAGTCATCACAAGTCTTCTCCGGAGCAAGGAGAATGGGGAACAGGGATGTACTCTACCTTTTGGTGGGTGGAGCTTCCAGGAAGGAAGGAATTAATGCATCCCCCCAACAGTCTCTTAGGCCTGAGGGCTTAGCTGCCTTGGAGGACAACCACTCATCTCTCTGAGGGCCCCTGTTCCTCTAAATAGTGTAAGGGACATTGCTGTTATTGCTGTTGGCTGCTGTTGAGCCAGCCCCAACTCAAGGAAACACTGCCCGGTCCTGCACCATCCCCGTGATCGGTTGCTGATCAGACCATTGTGATCCACAGGGTTTCCACTGCCTATTTTTCGGAGGTCAATTGCCAGGCCTTTCTTCCTAGTCTTAGTGTGGAAGCTCCACTGAAATCTGTTCAGCATCACAGCAACATGTACACACCTCCACTGACAGACAGATGGTGGCTGCGCCTGGGGTGCACCAGCCAGACTTGAACCCAGGTCTCCTGCATGGAAGGTGAGAATTCAACCACTGAGCTACCAACAGGGCCTCCAAACGTGGCCTCCAAATTTGCTGACATGCCGATGTGAGACCAAGTGGCTGAAACATCATGTGATTTTTAAAAAGTATTTTATTGTGATTTTGTAGAAAAATTACATAGCAAATTAAGTTCTCATTTAACAATTTCTATACATATTATTCAGAGCCCTGGTGGAGAAGTGGTTAAGAGCTCAGGCTGCTAACCAAAAGGTTGGCAGTTCAAATCCACCAGCCCCTCCTTGGAAACCCAATGGGGCAGTCAGAATCGACTTGACGGCCTACAACAGCAACGTAACAACATAGATATTATTCACTGACATTGGTTACACTTTTCACAATGGGTCAGCATTCTTATCATTTCCATTCTGGTTGTTCTGTTTCCATTAATCTAGCTTCCCTGTCCCCCCTTACCTTCTCATCTTTGGTCTAGGGTAAATGTTTACCATTAGGTCTTGTTTGGATGGTTGTTTACAGGAACACAGTACTAACGGTGATATTATTTATTGATAATATTTTATGAGCCACTCTGTCTTTTGGCCAGTAGGTGGCCACCCGGAGTGGTTTGAGTTCCAAGTTTAAAGGGTAACATCATGTGATTTTGACATTTACTTGAAGCTTGCTCCCTCCAGTCTTCAAGGTCAGGGCTTTTGGACTGGGCTGGATGTGAGGGTGAAATTCTCCGCTCTGCCTACAGGTCCTGCCCACCTTCCTCCCTGCACCCTGTCCCCCAAACTCTAGGCTCCCCCTGGGCTTCCTGAATGTGCCATCTTCCTTCTTGCCCCAGAGCCTTTGCCTCTCAGTCGCTTCTTTTGTGCTGGGGACAGCATCACTCACACATCAAGTCTCAGCTCAGCTGCCTCCTCCTCCAGAAAGCCCTCCTGGACCCCTGCAGCTGGATCACACACCCCTCCGGGCCTGTCCAGTGCCTTGTGCTCCCCCATCACAGCTGCGATCACCTAGTGCTGGCCTTGGTCCCCACCGCCCAGCTCCCAGCAGGGCTGAATAAATATTCATGGGATGCATAGCTGAGTGTGTGGCGGGGATTACAAGAGGCAGTGTGAGCAGAGGGCTGGAGGGAGTTACAGAATTTCTTAGTAAAAAACGAATTACGAGAACACACAGTTTAAACTTTGTGGCGCTAGAGCGGAGCGTGGAGAGGAGATGAGACAAGGAGAAAATAGAGGTGATGAGTCAGAATCGACTCAACAGCAGTGGGTTTGGTTTTGGTTTTGGGGGACGTTGCAGGCAGCGGGGATGAGCTGGGTCTTTTGTTCCACAGCCACAGAATCCATGGGAGGCTTCTGAGCAGAGAGGAACATGGTCCAAGGTAAGTGGAAGATTTTTCAGTTTATCCAGGTAATCCTCAACTAACCGCGGGTCCTGTTCTGACAACTCTGTCGTAAGTTGGTTTCGACGAGAGTCGAGTAGCTCATTTCTTCTTTTGTTTTCATTATTGCGTTTTATTATCAGTATCTTTATAAATCCAATTTTATTTGTCTTTGGGTGTTGGAAACAGTACATATAAGCTTACAGATATGATGGCATCAGCAAATGACACACCGCAACACTGTACGTGGGACATATTACTAAGATAAGATGTCCAAAAAAAAAGGGACGGGCCTAAGTGCGGTTTGCTGTAACTCGAATACGTCGTAAACTGGGGACTACTTGTATTCCATTACTATTCTTCTAATCTTCCAGGCTGCCAAGATCAGGCAGACAGCAATGCAGCCGAACTGGGAGAGGGGCTGGGGGTCTCCATGAGGAGGGACAAGGGTGACACTGAGACCCCAGACCCCGGGGCAGGGAGGAAAGGGTAGGAGGAGATACCCTGCCCAGTTTGGGATGCTCTGAGTGGAGAGCCTGTGAGTAGGGTTGCCATATTTAGCAAATAAAAATGCAGGCGTCTAGCTAACTTCAAATTACAGATTGTATCAAATACTTTTTTTAGTATAAATATACCCCATGCAGGAGTTCCTGGTTGGTGCAAACAGTCAACCGCTCAACTACTGGCAGAAGTTTGTCAGTTGGAACCCACCCAGCGGTACTGCGGAAGAAAAGGCCTAGCAATCTGTTTCCGTTAAGATTACAGCCAAGAAAACCCTATGGAGCAGTCCTTCTCTGCACATAGGGGATGCCCGTGAGTCCCACTCAAAGGCAGCCAACAATGTTCCATGCAATATATGGTACACACCCATTGCCCTCGAGTCTAGTCCGACTCATAGCAACCCAACAGGGCAGAGTGGAACTGCCCCATAGGGTTTCCAAGGTTGTAAATCTTTCGGAAGCCGACTGCCACGTCTTTCTCCCGCTACATACTTACATAAGAAAATACCATACGTTATTTGAAATTAAAATTTAACTACTGTTCTTTATTTTATCTGGTAACCCTACTGTGAAGCATTCAAAAGGAGCTACACGGGGGAACATGGGTCCGCCGGCCTCAGTTTCCCTGGGGTACTCCGGGGAAACCCCGCGTTTTCTGGTGAGACGGCGCCACCTGGCGGACTCCGGTGGGAGCCAAGACTCCGCCCACCGGGATGCAGCACCGCAGGTGCCCGGCAGGTGGCGTGCGCCACCCACGGAGGTTTCAACTCCTTGGGCGCGCGCGTTGTTCCCAGAGCATCGGGGCGTCGCTCAATTTGTACCCCAACCTGGATCCCCGGCTGAAAAGTGGAATATCTATAGGCCCTCTAATTTCCCCCACACTATGGCTTTATCAGGTAGGCACTTTTGCTTTGTGGTCCCCTTCCTCTATGAAGAAATATTAAAAATCATATTTTAGGACTGCGCTAGTATAAAGAAATATAGTGCAGGCTGAGCTAATGATTATGTAAAACAAAACAAAAACCTATCGCTGTCGAGTCGATTCCGACGCGTAGCGACCCTATAGGACAGAGTAGAACTGCCCCAGAAGGTTTCCAGGGAGCCGCTGGCAGATTCGAACTGCTGACCTTTTGGTTAGCAGCCAAGCTCTTTTTTTTTTTTTAATTTAAACTTTTTTCCCATACAAAAATTTATACATACATTGTTATGTGACTCTAATTGCTGTCACATACTGTGACAGCACACTCCTCCTTTCCACCCCATTCCCCATGTCCATCCAACCAGCTCCTGACCCTCTCTGCCTTCCCATCTCACCTCCGGACAGAAGCTGCCCGTTTAGTCTCTTGTATCTACTTGAGCTAAGAGGCACACTCCTCACGAGTATCACTTTACGTCCCACAGTCCAGTCCAAACCCTGTCTGAAGAGTTGGCCTCGGAAACTGTTTTAGTTCTGGGCTGATAGAGAATCCAGGGGCCGTGCTTTCCGGGGTTCCTCTAGTCTCAGTCAGACCATTAAGTCTGGTCTTCTTCCTAGAATTTGAGTTCTGTACCCCACGTTTCTCCTTAGCAGCCAAGCTCTTAACCACTGTGCCACCAGGGCTCCGATGATTATATATATTCGTTATTATTATATTCATTTTCTTCCTTTTCATTTTAAAATAAATTAAAATTACCTGTTCGTGGGCACTGGGTCCCGCATGCCTAATGGATAATTTGGTCTGGGACAAGGTGGGGGTGACGACAGAGGTGGGCTTTGTGGCCAAGCACCCCACTGCAGGCTTTTATTTTGTGAACTGGATGGTGAATAGTTGGATTTCGTCTCCACCGGGGGGGGGGGGTGTGTGTGAGGGGGACAGTGGTGGCTCTGTAGGAGAGTTCTCCCCTTCCATGCAGAAGACCTGGGTTCGATTCCTGGCCAATGCACTGCCTGTGCAGCCACTACCCATCTGTCAATGGAGGCTTTCATGTTGCTGGGATGCTGAACAGGTTTCAGGGGAGCTTCCAGACTAGGATGGACTAGGAAGAAAGACCTGAAAATCAGTTTCTGAAAATCAGCCAATAATAACCCTTTGGATCAGATCTGTAACCCATCATGGGGGGTGCAGCAGGACCAGGCACGGTTTTGTTTTGTTGTGCGTGGGGTCATTATCAGGGGCCGAAGAGAGGACAGCTCACAACAACCCCCTGTGTGTGTAGACACTAATAACTCTGGGCCTCACAAGGTGGTTCTGGCCAGGAAGACTTACAGGGCTGGGATAGCTTTACCCATTTCACAGCCAGAGAAGCAGAGACCAGAGAGTGTCCCCCACTGTTGGAAAATCACACAGCCAGAGTGCAGCTCAAACCTGGGCCTGCTGCTCACCCCAGCTCCAGGCATCATGGGATGTGTCCGGAGCCAGAGAGTCTGTATATAAATTCCCAGCTCCCTCACAGGGCTAAAAATAGGAGCCCCCTCACTGGAAGGCAGCTGCGATGACGAAGCCCCTTACCCTCCAGGGCCCCGGGCCTCTGGGGAAGCTACACCCAGCAAAGGGGCCTTCCCCTGGTAAACGAGAACAGGCCTGTGCCCATCCCCGGCCTTCAGTGTAATTATGCCCCCACCCTGCCCCCTTACCTTTGAAGAGATAGAAGTATAATGTAGGAGGAATGAACGAATGCTGACCCATTGTACAGAGGGGGAAACTGAGGCATATAGTTTCTTTTTTTCCCTCCATGCAGGAGGTGAATTCTAGGCAGTTTGAGCCCATCTTTGGTGGGGAGGGAGCTTTCCTGGGGTGGTGGCTGTGCCTTGGTGGCCTGGCCCTTTGAGGATCACTTCTCTCCCCCTCCCCCAGCTTATCTGGGTCTCAGAGAGCCTCTCCAGCTCCCCCACCTCAGGGCAGACATCTGGGCCCATGGTGGGGGTAGGCAGCTGGGGGTGGGTGTTTAGTAGCCCAAAGATAGAGGCCACCCAGCTACCCACTACAGGACGCTGGGGACTGAGGCCTGGGTTCTGGGAAGTCGGGGGAGGGGGGACAGGACTCCCGGTCTGGGGTGGAGGGCAGCTCCCCCACACTCATCTCGCAGGGCTGGTGGGAGATGGCTGGTGGGAGATGGCGCGATGGTGGGGTGGGGGGGCACAGAGAGGGTGGCCCTGTTGTGTGCCTTACAGGAGAGACGAGGGCTGAGCACAACCCCCAACCACACTTAAGATTAGGGACCCGAGCCCTCCCTGTGGGGAATCCCGAGAAGCGGGGGCTCTGGGTAGCCCCTGCCCACTTTGCGCTTATCTGGGCTGGAGCCTGGGCGCTGCGATTAGCTCCCAGGGGTCGCCCCTGGGGCTCAGGGCTGCGGTGAGCCCACACCCCTACTATCACCTTCTCCTCGCCTCAGTTTACCCCTCTGCGAAATGGAGACCATAGGCGTCTCTGCTACACGTGGATGTGAGGAGTGAACAAATTCACGAGAGTCACGCACTCGGCATAGGCCGGGCAACCGTGCACTGGGAACAGGAAAATTATGATCGGTAAAACGAAGAGGGTCTTTTCGGCCCGCCTCTGCACGGTGAGTTGTCGGGTTCCCAAGAGGCGGTGACAATCCGTGGTAGGGACCGTCGGAACTTCCCGATGAGCCTTCCCCGGGGTCTGGCGCGCACCCCGAAGCCGACCCCGCGCCTTTGCCTGTGCAGTGCGCCCCACCGTTCCCCCTTCAAGACCCCTTCCCACCATGCAGGCCCCCGTGGCAGAGCCCTGGACACCTCCCTCTGCCACTTGCCTCTTCCCATTTCCTAGGGCCGCAACTCAACTGTTTACCTGTTCTCTAATCCCCACGACCGTCCCCATTTCACAGACTTGGAAACGGAGGTCCTTAGGGGGTAGTCACTTGCTCCAGGTCGCAGTGTAAGGGGCTGGGACAAAACTCCAAGTCCGGGAGGCCCCTTCCAGGGTCTCGGTGTGATGGGGAGAGGACCCTGACCCGGCGAAGCTTCCTCAACCCACCCTAACGGAGGCCCAATCCCCTCTCCCTCCCCTCAGGCGCTCCCGGCCCCGCCCGCGCCCTCCGCGCCCTCTGCGCTTCAGGCGGCAGCGCGCACTTTGCCTACAGTCCCTAGACAGGGGGCGGGGCCTCTTGCGTTGCTTTTTTTTCCCCTTTCCTTTATTATTTATTATCACTTAAAGGGGCCGCGACCTCAAATTTTCCGTCCACTTTCTTCACCCCCGACACTCCTGGTCGAGTTTTGCGCCTCTCAGGACCGAGCGCGGGGGCCGAGGGGGCGTCCGGGGAAGGGGGAGGGGGCCTCGCAAGACCCCTCCCCGCGTCCCGGGCCGCCGCGCTGAATCACCGGCGAGGTATTTGCATCTGAGAGCGATTTGTCACCGGGTGATTTGTCTGCGGGGCGGTGAGCGCGCCCGGGGGGGGGGGGGGGGGGGGGCAGGGCGCGGAGGGGCGGGGGAAAGCCGCGCGCGGGGAGACTTTTACCAATCGGGTCGGATGGGGGTGTAGACGCGGACACGACTGGCGATACGGTGAGTCGGCGCGAGGCGCAAACCCCGCGGCGGCCAGGGGCCAGGAGTGCGCAGCCCGGGGGCCGGAGGCCAGGCCGGGCAGGGCAGGGCAGGGCCGGACCCGGGCGCGGGGGCATGCGCCCCCCGAGCGACCCCAGCTCGGTGAGGCTGGGCCAGGGCGCGGGCTGGCCTTTGAAACTGCGGGTTCCGGCCCCGGGGTGGGCACAGCGTGCCTGGAAGCGAATGGGGGGACCCCAAAGTTAGGCAGGAGTGTAGGGGGGGGTCCAGGGCCTGGAAGACGACCCTAGCTGGTCGGGGCGTGGGTGGATTTCTCCGCGCCCCCCTCGTTGGAGACCTCACTCCCCCCCCAAAGTGCACAGGGCGTGCGGGGGTGATCGGGGGTCGCGAGTGCGCGCGCTCCCTCTCTCCACCCCAGCGGAAGGAAATGGTCTCGCTGCGCGCGCGGGGGGCTGCGCTCCGAATTTTTATTTAATTTTTGTTCTCGTCGTAACCGGGTGTTTATCCGGCAGCCCAGAGAGGTGGGGGTGCCGGGAGGGGAAGGCAGCTCTGGGCGACCTCCCTGGCTCGATGGTTTTATTTATAAAGTGTTGGCTCCGAGGGCAGAAAGGGGCCCCCGGTGACACCACGGTCCCCGCACTCGGGGATGGGGTTCGGCTCCCTGGCGGAGCCGCAGGGAAAAGCCTTCCCCCAAAGTTTCAGTGCCCCCCAGATACAAAAGCGGGCGCAGGAAGCGCGGGGAGCGCCCGTTTGTCAATTCCAACGTTCGGCGTCCGACCCCAGGCGGCGGGTTTGTCAATACCTTCCGTTTTCAGTCTCTCGGGCTGGAGGGGACCCCCCCCCCATGCAAATCGGCCGCTTTCCAAGAAGCCTTTGAAATCCGGACCGGGGTTTTTGTCGTTTTATTTCTTGTTCAGTTTTTCTTTTTCACTTCCTCCGAGTGCCCCCACCCCTCGACTTTTTCGCCCCCTCCCCAACTTTCTGCCCCGCCCCTCCCCCGCCCCCTCCCCTTCCCGTCTTGGAGTGAGGGGCCCCTTTCACCACCCGCGGGCCCGCGCTTGCACAACTCTTTAAATAACCGTGTTTTGCAAGGCCCCAGCCCCAGCGGGTGACCTCTCTCCGGGCGGCACTGGGGGGAGGGTGTGGCCCGGATCCCTCCCCGATCTCCCCCCAGTCCCAACGACCACCCAGCACCCCACCACCACCGCCCGTTCCCGTCCTGGGCAGGCCTCCCCCTTGGGGTTGTCATAAAGTGGGGGGTGGGGGCCGAGGACAAAGGGTTCATTGGGGGAGGGGTCTGGAGGGGGTGGGCGTCGCCAGCTTGGGGTTAATGGCGGCTACGGGGGGGCCCAGGCCTGGCCTGGGGGGGGCTCTGGGGTTCCCACCTGCCCCCACCACTGGCCCAGTGAGGAGGCCTGTCCTGCTCCCCTCCCCCACCGGGCAACCCGAAGGGTCATTAAACCCAGCCGGCCTGAGAAGGGGGGCTCCCTGGGGGGGAGTGGCTTCCTCCGGCCTCTTCCTTTTGCCCCCCAAAGGGGGGGGCGTCGCCTGGAGCATTTCCGTGGGGGGGGGCTTGTCTTGAAGTTGTCAAAGGTGGGGGAGGGGCGATGGACCAGACCAGACGCTGAGCAAGAAATGTCCCCTCAGCATTTCTGGGGCTGGTGGGGGGGGTGACCGCCAGCCCCCGGGGTGGGGGGTTGGGTGCTGCTTTTGCAGCCTCAGAAGGGCAGGGCCCCGCTGGTCACTTCCCAGCCCTGTGGCCTTTGAGAAGGTCTTTGCATAGGGAGACCCCAGCCGCCTGCCTGCAGACAGATGGGGACACTGAGGCCCGTTAGGGACGTGGCCCCTGCACTTTCCCACAGGGGCCACCCACCTGCCCCCCCACCCCACTGCCCTTTTGCCGTGTGGCTGAAGCCCCAGAGGGTCTGGGTAAAGGACCTCTGTTTGGGGAGAGGGGGCAACTGAGCTCCCTGTTGCTTCTGCAGGGAGAGGGGTTCTACACTGCAAGATTCCCCCCCATCCTTGGGTGAGGCTTTGCTTAGCAGGTCACCAGAGGGGCTGGAAGGAAGGCCAGCCTGGTGATGGGGTCAGCCAGCTCCTGGGAGCCTCTCTCCACCCCCACCCCACCCCCTCCCCTCTCTGAGTCCCGATTGCCTCTGGAGTGGCTTAGGACCTTTGGGGGCTGATTTACCCAGTTAGAGGTGGCCTCCTGAGCCCTGCTACTGTGGAGGAGGGCGGGGCTATGTCCCCTCCCTGGCTGTCCCTGCCATGCCCCATCTGGGGTGTCACTACCGGGCCTGTTAGGTTCTGCCCACTGTTTTATTGGTGGCCTAGGCGGGTGGGGGTGTGGCGGGGTTGTGGTGGGGGGCTGGGGCAGGACGCGGTCTTCGTGTCCCCGGCCCTGACTGTACCCAGGTTCTGGGTGTGTCAGGACCTCCCTGCCTGAATACCTGGTGGCCTGGGTTGTTGGTAGGGACTGAGCACAGTGCATTCTGGGACATTCACCCCATTTGGGGTCCTTCACACCCCTCCTTACACACCAAGGACTGGAGTTTCAGGCTCCCGTGCCCCAGCAGAGAGAAAGGGGTGTGAGGGTAAAGTGGGAGGCATGAAGCACTGTCCATCGTCACCCAGACCGAAGTTAAAATCCCAGCCCTGTGTGGCCTTGAGGAAGGGATGTGGGCTTCTCTGACCCTCAGTCTCTTTGTCTGTAAGGCGAGGACTGTGCTAGTGCCTCCTCCCTGACACCTATATGGCGACTGCCGAGTGTCCTCTTTCCAGTTGTGAACTCGCTTCCCTCCCACTTAGGTGCCGTGAGGTGGGCACTGTCACTCATGCCCTTTTGCAGATGGGGAAACTGAGGCCTGAAGAAGTTTGAGGCCTGCTGTCAGGATGAGATGGCAGAGCCCGTGGGGAAGGGCAGCGTACAGCAAGCGCCCAGTGTGGGCCAGCTATTGTTTCTGTTAGTCCAAGATAAGGCAGGAGGCTTGGAGGCTCCTCCCAGCCAGACTGCGCCCACGTGGGCCTGAGCAGCACCTAGAACTCGGAACCAGAACGCAGAACCCACCTGGACTCTGGTGCCTGCGGCAGTGGTAGCCAATCAGAGGCCAGGAGTGCTGTCCCCCTGCTCTATGAAGCAATAACCCAGCACTCCCCCTCCCCGACTACGGCATGATTCTCCAAGGCTCAGACGGCTGGGCTGGGCTTCCCTCGGGAGTCCTTTGCAGAGTGACCCCGCTTCCTGGGCCAGCCAGAGGCGGGCAGATGGGGAGAGTGTACTTCTCCACCCGCAGGGAGGCTGCCAGGTTTGCACCCCTCAGGAGGGCTGTGAAGGGATTTTCCTCGGTGGTCTCAGTGGTCTTGCCTTTTGGGAAGGATGAGGCTGGAAGAGGCCAGCGCCCCTGACTGGCTCTCTTGCTGCCCCCCAGGTTTCTGCAAACGTGTGAATGAGCCGGGCCCCTGCTGCCCCCCGCCGCCCGGCGTGACAAGGA